ATATATATATATATATTACAAACCTAAAAAATGTTTAAAACGGTTTGCTGGATAAGTGTTATATTTCTTTAAGATAAATAATGCTTTTGTAGTTGTAATAATATTATTAAGTAATATTAGTATAAAATATTAGTAAATATTAGAATAAAACTAAACTAATATATTAGCATAAAAATTTTTTTTTTTCCTTCAAATTTTGTGTGATTCGTAAATTTTTAGTGGAATTTAAAATTGAGTTGAACATTCAAAAAATTCGAAATTTTAAAGTCCTATACATTTTGTCTTTCAAATCCACTACTTCAGGCAAAAACACACCTGTTCAACATTCTTTTGGCATCTGAAAACTATAAGAGAGGTCATGGGAAGCGTAGCAAACTGAAATGGGAGCCGGACAGAGACATTGTTCAAGCCCTGGACTGCGCCTTCAGCAAAAGTATTTCAGTGAGTGCCGTCAGGAAATGTGCTGTAGAACATGCTGTTTTCAAAATACTACAGAAATGCTGTGACTCTTTATGTCTCTAGATTGTGGAGCCCACAGGCAAGCGGTTTCTGGTGGCAGTGGATGTAAGTTCTTCTCTGAGCAGCGTGACTCAAGGCAGCTCCATCAGCACTGTGGCAGTGGCAGCGGCGATCTGTTTGGTAAGAAACACCACTGCAAACTTACTCCAATACTGTTAGTCTGTGAAGAGACTGAAGTCATATTTTAAGCTAATATTTTGTCCTTGGAGGAAATGTGTGTGGCACATATTTCACATTCCTTGCATATTCCTTTTCTGATGGGACGCTCTAGTCTTGTAAACATCGATGAATGGCCTCTTCAGTGCATTCCTCTAATATGCGAATCTTTTTAGATGCTTTAAAAAGAGCGAATTGTTGATTATAACCAACCAAGAACGTACAAACCCCATGAGATCAAGCCTTTTGTGACTTTTGGTTGATTTGTTCTGTCTGCATGCTTGTTCACATCTAAAAGTAACATTTAGCTGATATAGACTTCTAACCCTTTAAAGCATAACTTTATGCAATAATAGTCAGAAAAATCGTTTTTGTTCATCTTTTTTTTGCAAACACGCATGTGTTTTTTGTTAAGTATCATATTTGATAGATCAGGTTTTTATGGCTCATATAGTATGATATAGTAGGGCTGTGGAATTTCGAATATTCGTCGAATTTAAAATAAAAAAATCCACATTCGAATGCAAAAACGTTCGAATTTTAGGTGTGCGTTAAGGAGGCAGCCTTATCAGTGGCGCACGAGATGCGATGACGGTGTAAGTGTCGTTGCATTATAATGTTTTTGTTAACCTGTCCAGTTGAAGCCACTAGATGCGGCGCTGCTGCATTGTTAATTACAAATATTGCGGGAAAAGAGAACATCAATGCGGAGAAGATCTTGTTTACGTCAAAACTGAAACCACCGTTTCACACAGAACGCCTATTTCGCGCATTTTCTAGAGGGACATCTATCACCATTGCACTCGCGTCTCGCACAAGAGAACCGCATGTTTAGAAAGCCATGTAAAATGAATGCAAGTTTAACTTTGTAAAAACATATCTCGAGACTTTATGGCGGGTTTTTTCCCCATCTCACTGCATCTCATGTTTTAAAATTAAAAATGTACTCTGTGTGATTGGCTTTCGGCCCTTTGTATTAAACTATGCATACATACATGATGCTGTTTTGTTTATAGTTGTTTAAGCAACTTAATTATAATTGGTTTATAAACATTATTTTAAACATTATGTACTTTTTTAACAGATAGTCATGTTATCTTATGCTTTGAATAAACGTGCATTAATAATATTTTGCTCGATGCGCCCTCTTGTGGCCTCAGGAGAGAAGCCAAAAGCATTTCTTCACCCTAACTGAAATTATGCATTTTAAATTCGAATATAATTCGAATTTTGATAATATTTAAGTAAAAAATTTGAATTTACTTTTTCAGCCATTTTGACAGCCCTATGATATAGTGAGAATATGGAGAAACTTGAGGAGGAAAAGCACCTCGATTTTATTCAGAGGCACAAACTAAGCAAAAATATGTAATTTGGTGCATTAGCTGATATTAATATGGCCAAAAGTGAAATTAATTTCTGACAGCTTGTAATGTAAATCAGTGAGATCTTTATAACAGTATAGCAAATTACTTGTATAAAATGCATATGTGTTACTCTATATCCCCCTAAAATATGAATATGATATTTAAATTCTTAGTTTTATGATCAAAACTAGTTTTTATTTTCGGGACGAAATGTACAGGATAAAGCAGTGCAATACAACGATGCTTGAGAGATGAACAAATTAATGATTCTCAAAAGCCTGATGAATCATATCGGATACATTTAACAGGATTTTTGTAAAAAAAAAAAGTATGGCTAATTAAGTAAAAGTTGCTTTATTACTGACAATAAATGTTCAGTTTATACAAATCAGTAAAGATTTCACAGCAAAACATTAATAAACACAAGCATTTGGTAAAAAGTATAAACTATCACTCAGAAGGCATGTAGTAGATTGTGTACAACAGGTTATTCAGCAAAGGTTTGATCATTTTGTTAATTTAGTGCCTTACATATTTGCATATCATATGATTTATATGATACAGTAGGTTTTATTGGGTTAAAATGTACAATAATTTTATGCTTCCTGTTTCAATTGGCAATTGGTCAACACAGGAAAGACGAATGTGCATATCAAGCTATATCAAGGGGTCTTTAAAGGAGAAGTTTACCCATAAATAAAAATTTAAAAAAGGTCTTGTGACCTTTGTGACACATTTTATTTTTTAAGACCTTTTACATGAACATGATCACCTGTGTGCTACATCTTTTATTTTCTGGTAGCTCCTACAGATTTTAAAGAAGAAAAAAAAACAAGATAAAAAAAAAAAAGTGAAGCTTCAAATTTAATTTCAAAGTGGTTCTCTTTATTTTAATGGCAGGTGATTGCACAGACGGAGCCAGACACACAGATTGTGGTTTTCTCTGAAGGAAGCGTTCTTCCCTGTGCTGTCTCTTCTGATATGACATTTATGCAGGTAGCAGCACAGCTCATCCAGGTGAGAAGATGCTTTTTTTTTTAACTGCAGCATCCTGAATGCATTCAAACAACAGAATTCACTCACATACTTCTGTGGTGACCCGTACCCTCATTTCAAACACAAATTGTAGTCATCACACTCCTTTGTGAATGATTAGATCCAGTTCATCTGTAGTCATCATAATAATCCATATGTGACTTCTCTCCAGACTCCTGGTGGCAGTACAGACTGTGCCTTACCCATCACCTGGGCCTCAGAGAATGATAAAACTGTGGATGTCTTCATCATTTTCACTAATAATCAAACGTTTGAGAGCGAAAATCCAGCAGACACACTGAAGACGTATAGACAAGTGAGTGTAACCCGAAAGGGAATACAAAAGTCATGTTTTTAGCTTATTACACTGTTATACTCTTATCTGTAATATGTTTTAATAAGGTTGTAATTAAACATTAATTTAGTGCAGTTATTTAAAAAATGATTGACCATGATAATATGGAAATATACTCACTTTTAAAGCTATTTTTTTTTACAATGTCTGTTTAATGATTTACACGTCTGCCACAGTAATGTAATATATTTAATGTATCTTCATTTATTAGATAAATCTTATCAAATATATGCTATTAATACACTCAGAAGTTTGGGGTTGGTATGATTTTTTTAATGTTTTTGAAAGAAGTCTCTCATGTTCACCAAGGCTGCATTTGTTTGCAAAAAAAAAAAAAATGCAAGAAAAACTGAAATATTGTCAAATATTATTGCAATTTAAAATAACTGGTTTATTTTTTTTATATATTCTAAAATGTAATTTATTCCTGTGTTGCAAAGCTGAATGTTCAGCATCATTACTCCAGTCTTCAGTGTCACATGATTCTTCAGAAATCATTCTAATATGCTGATTTGCTGCTCAATAAATATTTTTTATTATTATTAGTGCTGTCAGTCAATAAAAAAACTAATAAATCACACATTTTTTGTAATTAATTGCAATTAATCATATATTAATATATTTATATTATATTTATATTATAGTCATAATTTCACATTGAATCTCAAAATTAATGTAGAAAGAACATAAAGATGGTATATTTTAAAATATGTGTTTAATGGCATGTTTTTACTAAATAGCCTATTATTAATGAAGGCCAGTATCATTGATACCTATACTGCAACTGATGTCTCAATTAAATGCATTTTCCCTCAATTTTACCCATTAATTATAACCATTCAACATTACAGTATAACTGAAAGACATTATTTGTAACATTTAATAGGCTTTTTAATTTTAAGTGAATTTAAAACAATCTTCACATAAACTATAAATTGAATTCATTACTCAGTGAGGAGAGCAGTGAGTGATTTCTCTTTTACTTTAGTTCTTTGATTTCCATCAATGACACAGACTGCAGCAGGATTCACTTTAAAAGCAGTGCTGTCTGTTTTAATCCTGGCGCGGATCTGACACGCATCTGATTTTCTCTCAGCTCTTTACGGTCATTTGGGACTTTTTAACTCATTTAAGACAGTGTTTACGAGGTCACTCACCAAAAGCGGGCATTTTGACATAATTGTGTGTGTGTTTTTGTCCACGATAAAGAACTCCTGTGCTCTTGGCCAGTACTGAATTTACCTCTCTTTTGCGTCCTATCGTACTTGATAGTGTGTTTATATAGTCTACTGTAATGCTGTAGCCAGAGGATGCCAGAAAAAAAAATGAATGCTGCATTAATTGCGTTAAAGTTGGGGTATGTATTTTTTCAAAAACGCTTTAGAAAACTGAGTCGTGCCGAGTACCAAAACAAACTTGTAGCCAATCAGCTGTAAGGGGCGTGTCTACTCATGATGTGGAGGAGAGAGCGCTCAGTGCACAGGACGGACATTAGTCGAACCGAGTGACAGAGAGATAGAGATGGCGGATAAAAAACAAAAGAGGAAAACGTCATAAATAGAACGCAGCAGCAGTTTTCTGTCGGGAATTTGTCGTGCCGCGCCGCATCCAGTGTAGACAGCATCACTGATTATAATGAGTTCTATAGTATTTTGTCGCGCCGCGCCACTCGCGTCCGGTGTAGACACAGTGTAACATTGGTTTTGCTTTGTTTCACAGAACTAATCATTGCCTGGGTTGCTTGCGTACGTATGTGTGGGGCGGAGCTATCAAAACAGGGGCGAGACCCTTTTGGGGTAGGGGTGTGTTTGTTTTGGTGATTTGAAATATCAACATTGGCTACCAGAAATCACTTAAATACAATTAATGCATTAATTTTGACAGCCATAATTATTATCAATGTTGAACACAGTTGTGCTGCTTAATGTTTTTGTGGAAACGGTAGGCCTACATTTTTTTCTGGATTTTTTGATGAATAGAAAGTACAAAATAACAGCATTTATTTGAAATAGTTCTTTTGTAACATAAATGTCTTTGCTGTCACTTTTGATCATTTTAATTGGTCTTTGCTAAGTAAAAGTATGAATTTCTTTCAAAATTAGTTGGTATATCATGTAATAATTCATAAATGATTCAATTAAACATCAACTTTTTCTACTGTAGTTTTCATCATTTTTGTCCTGTTTGTGTTTTCTTTTTTTTTTCAGAAAAGCGGTGTATTTTCCAAACTGATTGTGTGCGGATTGATTGCCAATTCCCTGTCCATCGCTGACCCTGAAGACCGTGGCATGCTGGACATCTGCGGCTTTGACTCGCAAGCAGTTGATGTCATGCGTAACTTCGCACTCGATGTCATTTAAAAGCTGTTTGTTTGTAGCATGCAGTCGGTTTTCTGAAAGGACAACGAGACACCGATGCACCCCGCATCAACATCAGAAAAAAATGTTTTTACATTTTAATTTGGAAATCATGTCGTTTGTTTTTGCAGTTTGGAATCGAGTCCAAGTCTAATTTAATGTCCAGCAGGCTGGATTAGTTGCAGTGAATTCAGCAAATTCATGAAATGACGATTATGTTTACTGATGTCCATTCAGTATACTGTATGTTTTTAATGAAATGTTGCTTCTTTCCCAGAAGTACATGTCTTTCACACGTTTTTCAAGAAGTTCATGCATGTCACTGACCTTCATTAGAAGTAATGTACTATATTTTTAGAGGCCTTGCTCATTGTGTGCAATTCATGGTTTGTTCCGTGTAATGAGATGCTTTAAAATATTACACATCAAGCTGAAAGTGCTCCATAGGTCTTCCACAAAAATCGTAGAGAAATATAAAGCAAAATACATTTGCGAGATCATTGAAATGTAAATCAAGCAATCTGGTGTTCTCAGAAACGCATGTAGCCTAAATGACTAGACTCGTCGGTAATGTTTTAATGTTGAAATACCTCAAGTGTTCTGTGGTCCAGTAACTTGATATTTGATATATGATCGCAAATAACCTTTTATTATACTGAACAAAATTATAAACGCAACACTTTTGTTTTTGCCCCCATTTTTCATGAGCTGAACTCAAAGATCTAAGACTTTTTCTATGTACACAAAAGGCCTATTTCTCTCAAATATTGTTCACAAATCTGTCTAAATCTATGTTAGTGAGCACTTCTCCTTTGCCGAGATAATCCATCCACCTCACAGGTGTGGCATATCAAGATGCTGATTAGACAGCATGATTATTGCACAGGTGTGCCTTAGGCTGGCCACAATAAAAGGCCACTCTAAAATGTGCAGTTTTACTGTATTAGGGGGTCCGGGGGGGGTCCGAAAACCAGTCAGTATCTGGTGTGACCACCATTTGCCTCACGCAGTGCAACACATCTCCTTCACAGAGTTGATCAGGTTGTTGATTCTATCAAAATAGGGGCGATGTCTAAGCTGTCTAAGATTTAGACAGATTTGTGAACAATATTTGAGAGAAATAGGCCTTTTGTGTACATAGAAAAAGTCTTAGATCTTTGAGTTCAGCTCATGAAAAATGGGGGCAAAAACAAAAGTGTTGCATTTATAATTTTGTTCAGTGTATGATTCAAGAGAGGCTTGACACGTCTATTTAAGACTTAAGATCTGAATATTTTACTGTTTACACTTTGGCACACTTTTGATCAACAAAATAACATTTCAAAATTGTAAAAAAAAGAGGCGTATGCTTTGAATGATAGAGCTTGTTAATGGATCTTGCTTCTAGATTCATTTTATATGTGTAGAAAGTAACTTTTTTCATTTTCTGTTGCTCTTTGTGCCTCTTAAGTTCAAATCAAGGTTGTGATTTTGCTAACGCTGCTAAGATGATTATTATTACGTAAAGAAATTGTAGACACACACTAACAAACACTAAAACTTCTGTAGACAATTACTACCTGTTACTTTTGAGATACAATACTGAATGTTCCTATTTGTGTAATATTACAGATCATTTAGATCTAAACCTCTTGAATTAAGGGATGATAAATCTGACAAATTATGAAAGGCTGTGCTCTCATGGATGTTACCAAATTGGGATGCAAATTGAAATTTATTTGCCATGTTTTTATTTAATTTGTCCCTGTAGTTAACATGATAGCATGTTACCAAAGTTTATATTTATTTTTTTGTTTATATTACTCGGTACATTTTTCATAAGGTGACCTCATCAAGTTTATTAACACTATTAAAAAAATAAAAAAAAAAAAGTATTTTAGTCTTTGAAGCCAAAATTAATACTACACCTGACATTTTCCTTTGACGATTGGGTTGTTTAAAAAAATATATTTTCTGTTGATAACTCATTAATAAAGAGCCTTTTGAGAGTAATTTGTTTGTGATACTTCTGAATTCTGTTCTAAAATGTTACCACTCAGACTGTATTGAACTGAACTTATTAGTAGCAGCTATAGTGCTAATTCTTTATATATTTTTAGAAAAAATGATAGACTGAAAATAATTGAATATACTGTAATAATAAAATAATCAGAAACTTATTTAGAAAACCATAATCACATAAATGCAAGCAATACCATGAAAAAAAGGATTATTCAATGAAATTAAAGTCTAACTGGCTTTGATCAAATATGTTAGACTCAAAGTTATGTGAAATTAAGTTTAAGCTATTTTGCCTTATTAATAGAATAGAAATCTAAAATGTGTTTTTCTTATTACATTTACGTTTAGTCATTTAGCAGATGCTTTTATCCAAAACGACTTACAAATGAGGACAATAGAAGTGATCAAAACCAACAAAAGAGCAACAATATATAAGTGCTGTGACAAGTCTCAGTCTAGTGCAGTAAACATAGCAAGGGTTTTTTATATAATTAATAAAAAGAAAAACAAGCGGATAGAATAAAAAAATAATAGGGAACGCTAGTTTTAGAGGGTCCTTTTTCAATAAAAATAAACCAAGTCAAAAGAATAGGGTTTTTTTTTTTTTTTTTTTTTTTTACAAAGAAAACAAGTAGTAAGAATAGAAAAATAATATATATATATACTGTATACATAAATACACACATGCATGGGGAATCGTGGGAAAACAAGCTTGTGGTTCATACATTTGAGAATGTAAAAATGCAGAAAGTTTTCTGTGAAGGGCAGGTTTAGGTGTAGGGCGATAGAATATACCGTTTGTGCAGTATATAAACCATTACGCCTATGGAGAGTTCCCAAAACGGATAGTAAACCGTGTGTGTGTGTGTGTGTGTGTGTGTGTGTACTGGTTTATATATCCTGGTGGGGACTTAAACCTGACTACACACAGACTCATGGGGACTCGTGTCACGGTGGGGACCTAAATTGTGGTCCCCACGGGTACAAAAGCTTATAAATCATACAGAATTAAGTTTTTTGAAAATCTAAAAATGCAGAAAGTTTCCTGCGAGGGGTAGGTTTAGGGTAGGGTTAGTGTAGGGCAATAGAATATACGGTCTGTACAGTATAAAAACCATTACGCCTATTGAGAGTCCCTACAAGGATAGCTGACCAGACGTGTGTGTGTGTGTGTGTGTGTGTGTGTGTGTGTGACAAACACAGTTGATATTTGACTGGTACCTGAGGCTGTTCGGTTTAGCTGCCCCAGATTTGCCTGAGCTGTGCGTTCAAGTCGTAAATACTTTTTAATACTTAACTTTTATTCGTCTATAAATAATCCCTTTACTCGACCTGCTTATGCTGTCTCTTTTGCGGTCGAAGCCCAACCAATACGCTTAAATATAATTGTGATTCATTAATTTTATATAGGCACTATTCGAGGCAGCCCTGTACTGAGAAGTTGCTGGGTCGTAAATAAAACACTCGTAATGAGGAGGCGCGATCATGGCGGACGTGTTGAGTGTTCTTCGCCTGTACAACATCCAGAAAAAGGAGATTGTTGCGAAAGGGGATGAAGTTATTTTCGGAGAGTTCTCCTGGCCTAAAGATGTCAAGACTAACTATGTCATTTGGGGGTAAGTGTGCGCTTCTTCCGCTTAGTTCTTCGTCTTGTTTTGAGCTGAGCTGCTTTAGCCGCTAATGCGCTACTGCTGCTAAACTCGTGTTGTGTTGACTTGTTCTTGTACAGGATAAAGTGTTCTGTCTGTAAGTCAGTGTAGTTACGTGTATGGACACTGGGAGATTGTAACTAATATGTTGGCTGATGTTTAAAACGCACTGAGCTGTTTGTACAGACAACATTTGAGGCTGCACTGATGCTGCGTAACAACTTCTCATTTGTTACTCTGTTGAATCGTTATTATCTGCTCTGATTGGGAGTTTAAAACGTTGTAATCCAAACTAACTCGGTACTACAAAATAGGATCTCCAGAGTATGTTTTTTGGACATAATATATTGGAGGAACGTGTAAAGACCCATATGGTAATCAAAATATCACGTAACACTATCGCTGTACCATGGAACCACAACAAGACTTTTTTTTTTTTGGCTGGGTGTTCATGGTCGACTGTTCTGCACACCATGTTATGTTGTGATTTATTTTTTTCATGTGTCCTATTTAAAGTTTGTCCAAGGTTGCTGTGCTTTGTAACACATTTTGATGAAAATTAATATTTTTGAAAGGTTCCCAAATTATTGGCTTGTAGGTTCAGCTGTAATTAAATTTAAATCGAACTCGGGGTTGAAAAATTATTTTATAAATGCAAAAAAATATATATATTTTTAGCTGGATTTCAAAAATGGATAGGAAAACTTTCCTCTTGTTGTGCGCTTTAAAAAAGTCTGGGACAATCCCTGATGATTTAACAAAAAGCCAAAAACATGTGCTTTTAAGAAAGTGGTATGTGTGTATATATATATATATATATATATAAATAATTATTTATTTATTTTTTTTATGCTGGTGATATAATTTGTGGTGAAAATTTAGAAGAAACGTTTGAACGGTGTTGTTTGTTTGTGTGTATATTAATTTTTTTACAATGCGATTTAATTACAGAACTGGAAAAGAGGGACAGCCTAAAGAGTACTACACTCTTGACTCGATTCTTTTCCTTCTCAACAATGTGCATCTTCCTCACCCGTCCTATGTGCGGAGAGCTGCAGTAAGTACAATCGCACAGTTTATAGCACACTCTCTAAAATGTTTAAAGTGTATTGCTTTTTTTATTATTATTTTTGTGTCATTTATTTTCATGATATTTAAGTACATTTAAACCCTGCCTCTCCCTGCTGTAATGCAAGAGTTCGTATTATATTCCGGTTTTAATTAAAGCTTAGTTCGCTGTCTATAAACGGGAAATATCCTTATCTTAATGGTTTTATTTTATAATGTAGGCCTAGTTTGTGTGCACAGGTGGTTGGAAAGTAAAATGTGAGCCTGCTTCTGTGATTGCAGACAGAGAACATCCCTGTTGTAAGGCGACCCGACAGAAAAGACTTGCTGTCCTATCTCAATGGAGAAAGCTGTAAGTTTGACGAGGAATCGCAGACATTACAGTCTTCAAGCTCTTTATTAAAAAAACATATTTATTTATCTGGTTGTCATTTAATTCAATTTTACAGCATCATCAACGAGTATCGACAGAAGTGCGCCCATT